TGCGTATTTGAACCGAGTATTACAGGAATCTCATTACTCCAGGCAGTAATGAGTAGATCTTTAAAAGGCTTCGCCAGCAGGCAGTCAGCACTTTCGTATGGTTCCACGAGCGGCGTGAAGGCAAACATAATACGCTCATGTTCTTCTTGCGGTAATATCAAACGGTTTTGTGCGCTTACAATTCTCGAAGCGCTTGTTTTCGAGAGGAAACGAAATACTTCTTTATCGGCATTTCCACCCTTATATCCCAGCTCGACGGCAAGTCGAAAAGCCCAGTCTCTCGGTTGTGCTTCAACCCACGGGCAGAGGGCGGAACCCGATTGCAAGATGGCTTTATGGAAGAGCCCTTGTGCTTTTGGCGCTAGCATAAGCAGATGTGTAGAAGCGGCACCCGCACTCTCACCAAAAAGTGTGACATTATTTGGATCGCCATTGAAATTGGCGATGTTCTCTTGAATCCAGCGCAGAGCAAGCAATTGATCTTTCAGGCCTGCGTTGCCGGGTACTTGTAAATCTGGATCGTTCAAGGAGAGGAAACCTGTGGAAATGAGGGAGGAATTGAAGATTATTTAAAATTTGAAATAAAGTCAACTCTGAAGTTAGCTGTAGCTTTTTGGGACTGATATTCCATTGATAATTATGTCAAAAAGTTGTAACCTCTGGAATTTTATTATAGAAAACACACCTAGCGCGCCTAGTCTATAGTTGACTGTTACCAGTACGACATCTCGCTCCATGAAATAATCCGGCGCATAAAGATCTCGCGTAGCTTCGCCAATCTGATAGGCTCCGCCGTAGATCCAAACCATTACCGGCAAGGGTTTATCAGATTTTAACTGTAATGGAAGAAATGCGTGGTTTCTTATAAATACATGCTTACTTATACTTGCATTTACTTAAAGTCTCTTTGCACACCTTTTTTTGTATTTTCAGCTAAATAAACATTTTACTCACCTCTTTCGCGTACACATTCAAATTCAAGCAGTCTTCCGAGCCTTGCAATATGCCGAGTATAAAGTGCCTTTGCATCGGTCGATTTCCTGTGCTCGTACAATTGCGTACACCTGTCCAAGGTACCGGTGGCTGTGGTGCACGGAATCGCAGCTCACCAACTGGTGGTTTAGCGTATGGTATTCCTTCAAAGGCATAGAAGTCGTGGTCGTAGATGGTTTTGCGTTTAACACCTTTCACCTGCCCATAGCTTGTGTCTACTATAACTGTTTCATTGGTGGCCAAACGGTATTGTTGTATGCGGTGTGATACCATCCTATATGCAATTATGGGAAGAAGAGTAAAAAGGTGTATGTGAATAAAATAAAATTTTAATAGTAGTATCATATCGAGCCCTAACCGCCAAAATAACGTAAGCCAAATTTTTTTCAAAATTTTCTTTTTGATGCAGAAATGCATCTAGATGCTCTAGGAATATTTCTGCATCAAAAAGAAAATTTTGAAAAAAATGTCGCTTACGTTATTTTGGCGGTTAGGGCTCGATATTTAAAACCTAAAATTTTACAATTTGTTTTAAAGGAGGAAAGATATGTTGAACTTGGCCAAAGTCGATTAAAGGTTTATAGCGGCAATTAAGAAGAAGAAAAAATATTTTTTTTCAGTTCGGTTTCTTTTGGCCTTGGACTTGTTATAAAAAATGTTGTGGTTGGTAACGTAAAACCAAGGAAAAAGCATTCTGTTTTATTTCAAAATCAATATTTGAAATTTTACATCTGCCAAACAAAATATTCACACAGTACAAAAAACAGGGACCGAGAACGCATTCCGCTTTTGTACAAAATGTAATGTTAAGAACGTTCCCACAGAAAGAACCAAACGGGAACAAAATTATTGAGAGCTGTTTGAATGGAAACAAAATGAGAATACAAGGTTCAGAAACGTTTCCGTAAAGAACAAAATACGAACAAAACTCTCGTAAACGTTCTCAAGAAGAACAGAATGAGAACGAAGTTTCCGCAAACGTTTCCAAGGAGAAAAAAAAAAATGATAACGAAAGTATCGAGAACGTTTTCAAGGAGGATAAAATAAGAACAAAATCTGGGGAACGATCTGGTATGGAACAAAACTTTGAGAACTTAACGTTAAGAATGAGTATGTTGGGATGAAAAATTGTTTCAGTGAAAACCATGATTGTTAATTCTAAGCCAGAGGAAAGCTTAATCATTTCAACTTCCCGATCGTGTATCATTAGGGTGAACTATGCACTTATGGTACGAGTTTTAATTTTCTGTGCAAGAAAACATCGTGTCTTAAGTCTTTCGTTGAATTATCTAATTTGCATAATTATCTTTCAGTTATTTTTTTTATTAATTTTAATATTCAAATATTTTAAACTAAATGAACGCTATGGTAAGTTTCGTGCCCGCTTCGCATTTGGTTTTCTTTGGGAACGTCTTACATGGTTTTGTTCTTATGTAATTCCTGCTGTGAACGTTCTCAGCAATTTTGTTGTCACCTTCCTTCTTGTCAAATCACTCCCGAATGTTTTGTTCGCATTTCGGTTTGGGTTCTTAACAATTCTTTGGAATAAAACTATGAAAACAACATTTTGTTTTTTTGTCCCTGATAAAATCCTAACAATGCTTTAACGACTCTATTTCCTTTGCAAGTAGACATAAGACTCAAGAAGAATCCACTTTTTATTTCTAGAAGACTGCTAACTCTAGGGGAAGTCCAGGGACTTTGTGCCATGATACAGATTGGATGGGAATATCTTGAGGATGGTATAGCCTTCCCCCTCTTGTAGTGCTGGGTATTGTACTTCGATATATTCAAATAAACGCGAATAATAATAAATGTGTCTCCTCGAGTACTGTAGAAAGACACAGTATCCTAAATGAAATCGATTCATATTGAACTCAACAAGACAAATCTAGTATTTTTTATGAAGAAAATAAAGTTGGAAAGTCGCAACATTCCGGTTCTTAGACGCGTAAACCTAAATCTTATCGCGAAAATTAAGTAACACAGGGTAGCTCTAGATGAGAAGCTGACGTGGAAAACTCATAACCTTTCTAACAAAGACATGGGGATCGTCGTAAGCTTAATAGCGAAGATATATTACATCGGTTTGAATTTTTCGAGCTACCGCAATGCCATACCCGTCCTAGTTTGCTTTCGTTCTTGTGTGATTAAGTAATTTGGTTTAAGTACAGAGAGAAAATACATACATACATATTAGTGTTGCCCCTTGTGATTGGTTTGTACGAGTAAATAAGGCGAACGAGTGAACTGACAATTTCTTGTTTTATTGCACTTTTATGTGCATACATACATATTTATAAACTAATTTGCTCTAACGTAAGGTTATTTATTTGAATATTATTCCAATTTTTTACTTTTGTCGCGCTAAACACTTTTACGACTAAAATATTATTCCACGAACATAAGGTTGGTCGCAGGGTCACTCAATTTATTCAATAGATTTATAAAAGAATTTCAGTATATGGGGTGTTTCATACCAAAATGGACGGGGTTCACACTTCATGTGTTTGATTTGTTTATAATTTCTAGGGTGGATTGACTGATATATTTCTAGAAACTTCATAGCACAAAAACAAAAACATATCTATTTAATAGTTTTCCAAATATCTCGAGAACGGAGCGAGGAAAAAATTAAAAAAAAATCACACATATCTACACACATAAAAATTCTCTATAAAAAAATATTAAAAATTTTTTATCTTGAACAATTTTTCACACACAAATTTTTTTATAAAAAATTAGTTTTGGAAAATATCACAATGGTAGCTCTGCATATTGCGCAATATTTAAGTATGGTATTACGGGGTGCACTCTACAATAATTCGAGTTATGAATTTTTTTTACTCCGAAGTTGAGTAAAATGAGTACATTACAGATTGAATTTTTTTTTAAAATTTTTTTGAGTATGCAGCTTTGAAACCCATTAAATATCAAAGTACAAGTTTGAAGCTACTGAAAAATTGCGTTGATTTTTAACATTTTTTATGCATACGTCCTGTTGCACTTTTTTCTTGTGGAAGACAATGCGCAAACCGTTTTCCAAGAAAACTAAAAAAAATTAACGCCAGTTCTGCAAACGCTTAAAGCTTGCACTTTGTTATACTAAAATTTAATGGACTAAAAAACTGCGTGCACAAAAAAATTCTAAAAGAAATTAAAAAATGTTTAATTTGTAATGCACTAATTTTACTCAACTTCGGTGTAAAAAAAAAAATCATAACTCAAATTATTCTAGAGTGCACCCCGTAATACTATACTTAAATATTGCGCAATACTCAGAGCTACTATTGTGATTTTTTTGTTATTTTTTTGAGATGGCATATTTAAAAAAAAAATGTATGTTAAAAAATTTTCAAGAAAACAACGCGCTATTGCTTAATGGCTTTTATTAATGTTTATATTTTGTGTTTGAGGTTTCTCCTCTATTTACCATAGGTAATCAATAAAGCAGGGTTGCAGACGGAGAAGTTATGATTTTAATATAGGATTATTTTACAACCTCGATTTCAGAGGAGAAATTTTTTATTGTATTATAATTACGTATTGTATAGTTCAGCTCGAAAAAACAGATAGTCGCTAAAAGAAAACCTAGTAACACTGTTGCGCAATTTATTAAGGGCAGCAGCCAAGCGGATATCCGAATCCGGCTCTTTTTCCGGTTAACCGGCAAAATCCCTGTCCGGCACATCCCCATTCGAAAATAAATGTTTTATTTTTTAAATTTAAAAGCATAATCAAATCCCGAATTTTTGCTTTTCCAACTTCTACACACAATTTTCAGCTTTTTAAAAAATCGATAAATTTCCGAAGTATTAAACAGTTTTTTTTTGGTTAATGAATTTCAAAATTAAAATTCTTCTAATATTTAAACATTGCGGCACATTTCACATACTTCGCTCCCATTTCCACCAAATGCATGAACGGCAAAGTAATTTCAACCATTTTTGTGAAGTTTGAAAATAGGTAATATTTTACTTCTTTAAAGAAAAGTTTAACGACAAATAATTTTTACAAGTTTTTACGGATTGAAAGTTAGAAAACACGCGCACACAGCATTTAGTACGACTTTAATAAAAATACTTTTTGCCATACAACAGTCGAACGAGAGCTGGCACAATATTTTTCTACAAAGTGGCTGGCATATAGATAGATCGCTTCCTATCAGCACAAAAATACACTAATGAGTGTGAATGCAACGGTACTCATAGGGGGCTGCGATAAGCAGCCAACGACTTTGATTATAAAATGTATTTGCTACTATAAACTTAATTACATATGTTTACAATTCCAAGCTATTTAGTATGTATGAATATGTAATGTGTACGTACTAGAAATATTAATTCCGAGATCCCGGGATCCCGACCTTTTTGCGGTCCAAAAAATTGCGGTATTCTTGCCAAATTAGACCGGGATTTTCAGGATTTGTAATTTGCACTGTTGGCAATAATAGAAACTCCTTTTCTTGACCAGTTTCGGCTATATTTCTTCTTTTATTTAATAATTACTTTTTTTTTTATAAATTTCTAGCTCATTATAAATATAACACCGTGCGATAGTAAATTTTAGACACAAAAATTAATATATTCGCGAAAACATGGGCCAAATGTAGTAAAATTGCGTTTTTAGTTTTTCACTCTGACGTCAGTAATTAAAAATGATTTAAAAAAATTCAAATTCAATGTTTTGGGCATAAGGACTGGTAATTTTTAGGATTTTTTTTTGGTTAAAATTTGTAAAATTTTTCTAAATTTTCAAAAAACTTTGAATCGTTAATCTGTATGCCATTTGATGCAGAATGAACTATATTTCTATTAAAAATTAGCGAAAAAAATTATTTACGAAAACCATTGCAAATATTAAAAAAAACACTGCACGAATACATATTTTGATGAGTGTATATAAACTCGAAAATACCCTCGAATTTCGTCCTTCTAAATATATCAGCCTAAAAAATTACCGATTCGTCCTTCTAAATCCAAAAGATTTTAATTTGTTTACATTCTAAAAAATTTTCTTTCATTTGGTACCCATATTTTTATTTTACATTGCATTGCATTGAATTTTTTAAATAATTTCTGGAATTAATCACATCTTTGAAATTACAAATTCTTTCAAAATAAATCCTGATATCAGAGAGAAAAAATAAAAATGCTACTTTTAATAAAAAAGTAGGTTTCAAACCCATTTATTTATTATTTATTTTATGGTAGGCGAGATAGAAGCAATTTTTTCGATTTATGTTGTTGAAAAGTAATGAAAGTCTTAATCCCGGGACTAAGTCCGTGATCCCGGGATTGTAATAACGAAATCCCGAAAATCTCGGGATCGTAAAAAGCGAAAAAAATATCCCTAGTACGTAAATACTTACATACATACATATGTATGTAGTTGTATACATTGAAAGAATAAATGATTTTTTTTTAATGTTTTGTATCAAAGTCTAAAGAACCTACTTATTATTGCTAGGTATTATTTACAACTGAACGCTGTTACACACGTATAAATACTTTCATATTATCATCCGATTTTTTTAATTGCACAGGTCGGGCTTTGTGTATTAAAATTTTCTTTATGAAAATACATACAGTGTAGAACAAAAGTATTGGCATAGTGACTTTTTCGCAGTATATGCAAAGTTTATTATTCTAATTTATTTTCGATAATTTTTTATAAAAATATAGTTAATTTTCCACCAAAAAACTAGTTTGCAACTTTCTATTCAAATCTTCTAGAAAAATTCTAGGTATGCAGTTTTATAGTCCACTAAATTTTAGTATGACAAAATGTAAATTTAAAGTCGCTAGAGAATCGCGTTGATTTTTGTCAAATTTCTTATTGGAAGGTGTTGCTCATTTTCTCCATACAAAAAATTATTGTCGAATATACTTTGTATGGAAGAACTTGCGTGAAATAAATTACCAAAAATCAACGCGATTTTCTAGCGACTTCAAACTTGCGCTTTGTTATACTAAATTTGAATGGGCTATAAAACTGCATACCTAGAATTTTTCTAAACAATTTGAATAAACAGTTGCAAATTAGTGTTAAAATTTAATGAATTTTCCTGAGTTTTGCACAAAGTTTAGAGATTTTATTATAATATTTTCTGGTGTTCAATGAACAATATTTTTATAAAAAAATATCGAAAATTAATTAGAATAAAAAACTTTGCATATATTGCGAAAAATTCAATGTACCAATACTTCTGTTCGGCACTGTATGTATCTCATTCAATTTTGACGTTCTTTAATTACTCTGCGCAAATTAAATCAAGCTAGAGTGTTTAATACTGAGACAAATTAATACTATAAACTTGATAACTATTTAAAAATGTACGCTCGAAAAGTGGTTTTAATTGTGACAGATGTAAATTTGCAAAATTATTTATTGAATAATAGATTCATTGAGTCATTAAGCAGCTGCGACAAAGAGGGTACGGTGTGGCGTTCAACGCGCGTTTAGCCATCTGACAGTTTCTTGTCATTACATCCAACAGTATTGAGAGTTGAAGCTTTGCGAGCCGAAGAAAATCCCTTAAGTACCTCTAGTCCTACGGTCGTAAAAAGCCGAAAAGTTGCATTGGTTTTTTACCAGCATTTGCTGAGATGACACAAGACCATCTGCCTAATGTCCATATGTGATTCGTTTGATTACCAAAAGGAATAAGTCAGAATTTAAATCGATATGATAACTTTTAAGCGGTTCGATTCATTTAAAAGAGCTCTGTTGAAATGTTGAAATTTGCCATACCGGAAAAATGCTGACTTATTCCCCTTGGAAAATAAACGGATCCATTTAACCTCTCTTTTCAATGGAATACTTCTGAGGACACCTTTTTCAGTCAACTGATCTGCAGTGCAGTTACCTAAAATATCTCTATGGCCTGGTACTCACGTAATTCTCACTAGGAAATAATCAGCTATAACCGTAAGAGTGGTTAATTATTCTTCCACCAGCCTTAAGAACATCGTGAGCGAGTCCAAAGCTCTAATTGACGCTTGGCTATAAGAGTATTGGAACGCTTATCTCCTTTGTCGGCATCGCGCAATTGAGCAGCCAACTTACTGCTTCCTTCAGTATGGAAAACATGACATTGATCCGAAAGCCAAAGTTTGAGGTTGATATAAAGCTTCCTGCAAAAGCCTCTTGCTCGGTAGTTCTTTCAACTTCTACTTACTTCCCGTTCACTCACAACTATTCCTAGGACTAGAGTAAAAACCGAGTTCACTGGTGCCCGATTAGTAACACAACAACCCGCGTTATAAAAACATACATCATTTAGGCAGACAAGGCCCTTGGAGAGGAAACCTGTATGGAGCTTGGTTAGTTGATATTAGAGTTACCCAATAGTTGGCTGCTGTCATAATTTGTTGATATCTTAAAACCTGTTGATGAATTTATTTATGTCTGTAAATGAGTACCTACTCCAAAATCTCGACAGGATTTCGCATAAGAATGCTGCCAAATTTCTTGTGCGTATTATCTATCAGCTCTGGGTCCCAAAAAAATAAAGTAGTGAGTTCAAGAGAACGTATTTTGAGTATGTTGTGGTCTAGTCTGCTCAGTCAAGAATTAAGTCTGCTGCAGTAGTCAGAGCAAAGTTGTGCCAGTGTTGTGCGGGCCTGTCGTGGCAGTCGAAGTTCTGTCTCGTTAACGGTTGGTGATTGTGCTCCTAAAATAGCATTCACAGGTCGGGACAGCATCGTGTTCAGTGGCTGCGTCATATATTGTTGTACGTCGTGCTTGAGTTCGCAGAAATGACTTTAGATGCGCCTTAGTGCAGGCACCGCTCCTAGCAGGTATCATATCACACTGTTGTGCTTCCATATTGGTAAATAGCAACAGTTTCGATCTGTTTACTCCACGTAGAGGTCCATCCAGGATTTCAATAATCGTCGAGGCAAAGATAACTACAAGGCTTCATCATCTACATACGTACGTGCCTGTCTTCAGTTCTCATTTATTTATTTCTAGTAGAAAATCGAAATAGAACTTATCCTCTCCCGAGTGCTTCTGTTTGTAAAATTGTATAATACAATTTGTATAGGGTTGAACGTCCGTTAGGCAGACGGGTCTGGCCAGAACTTTTTATATTTTACTTGTAAAATAAACGGCTATTTTTAGGTATTATTTGTAGCTAATGAATCCAGCCAGACCCCTATATTACACCATGACGACAGTAAATTTTACAAGCATATAAATTAAAATACCCGCGAAACTAGCGGCCAAATATACTAAAACTGTGGTTTGGTTTTTCTATAAGAAGTCAACATTTTTTTATTGGACTTAAAATTCCAAGGATATGATTCAGTGTACTGTAGAACACTAAGGGTAGCAAATGAAAGAGAGAAATCTGTGTAATTGAACAAAATTAATTCTTTTGTGCACAAGGACAAATGTGTATTGATGTTGTCCTCTTAAAACTGCATCCTTGGAAAAAGTTTCTAATAGTTTTGGATCTGGCCAGTACCACTAAGTACCAAAGTGACTAAAAAGTTAGGTACTAATCCACTGAGAATGCGGTCGTGTTTCATCTCGGAATAGTGTTAGACAAACTATCTCTCACCATAGATTGAATAAAGTCTTCGATATTTATGCTGTTGAAAGCGCTGATCTATAAATATGCTATAATACTGATTTTGAACAGGATAATGCCACCTCAGGATTTTAAGATAATTATTTCGTATTAGATGCCAAGTCAAGTGTACCTTTAATGATACTTAACTGCCTAAAAACAAAACTGGCACAAAACATTGAGTTGAAATGTATGTCCACAGACACATACATACATACATATGTACGTAGGAAAAAAGCGAACGTTTTCCATGGTAATAAGTACAAAAGTGTGTACGTATGTCAGCATACACTTACATCCAACTGAGTTTGGTGAGAAACAGCGAACAATTTAGAAATTGCCAAATTGCATGCTTGAATTAACCGTAAAACATAGAGTGAAAGGAGCAAACTTACAAACACATTTCATATACATATTTATTCATTAGACCAGAGCGATACCTTTGTATATGAAATAAAAAAGTTCATAGGCTCATTTTGGGAGGACGTTACTTGTGGCATTTTCTTTTCTTGAAAAAAAAAATTTCACCTTCTTATGTGGCAACATTATCAGAGTGCAACATTTTAAAGAAAGAGCACGCAATATGCAAGTGAAAATGCTGAGAAAAGAACACGAAAACTTGACAGCCCTG